CCCCCCCGCTTGCTGTTACTGATAAATTATACGTATTATATTCAACCGTGTTCAGCGCTTGTAGACCTCTAGAAGTACGGTATGGAGTTCTGGACAGTTTTCAAGCAGGGTTGCCAGATTGCTGAGTAAATAAGCCAAATATTATTGACCATTATTATATAATAACCTTTTGTGTTTTCTTTGCTGGAAACAAAGAAATCAAAGGGCCGCTTACAGAGCCTGAAATAATTTTAAAATTTGTCCGGAAAAACTTCCGACCAAAACGAAATTTGACCGGAAATTTGCAAAATTGACCGGAATATTTTTTAGTTTAGCTTGACCAAGTCCACACGCCCCCCCCCCCCCCCCCCCCCCCCCCCCCCCCCCCCCCAATGAGCAAACTCTGTCAAGCATGCAGACGTGCACTGAGTAAATCACTCTACTTGCAATAATAAAACACAAATGTTTAATTCTGAATTGCTTATTGGAATAGTTATAGTGAATAATAATTTAATCACGCCCGCTGACGCTGTTTTTATCTTGACCCGACAAGCTGGAAGATATTAAAAACAATACGTTTCCTTGATTACTTTATATTAGCCTAACATAGATAATCCAAACTTACAGATGGTACTCACTGTGCTGAGCGCCGACCCGATCATTAAGAAAACATTTTTCTTTTTGTCAAAATTTGACCGGACAAAATTTCCGATCATTTCAGCATTTGGTCGGAAAAATCGGAATTTGGTCGGAAACCCGCCGGCCGTTATATCAGGCTCTGCGCTTACAATAATGTTTGGCTTATTTATTCAGCAATCTGACAACCCTGTTTTCTATAGGTATCACAAAACCAAATATTTAGATTCCTGGGAAAATAGTTTTTGTGATTAGGAAGAATTTAAGGATATTTTGTGCACGAAGTGCATATTAAATGGCGAAACCCAAGGCTAAAAAAATGTGTTACTTAAAATCACTGCTCCGTCTTTTTTTGACAGTTGTTACTATGTATGTTGGTATATTGTAGTTATTTACAAAAAAGTAATGATGAACTCAAAACTGGGCTATAGGAATATGTTTGAAACCATTTAAGGCTGTTAGATGAAGATCCCATTCCCTAGTTTTCCAAGATAACTATTAATATAAAATATTGATAATATTGAAGGATAAAGTAAGTAACGATTTACAATTGGTTTTACAATACTATTTTACAAGGGTAACAGATTACAAAGTGGAATACACCCTTCCAGAAAGTGCGTCACTTTCGCAATAGAGCCTCGTTTTCATGTATGTGACATTAGTTGAAACCTAACGCCCCAGTCACGAAAAGGAGAATCAGGGTTTTTTCAGGATTTTCTCTTGGGTCCGTTTTTGCAGAGAAGATTGAGTTTAGCTGAACAGTTGGGGTGGATGAACACCCCCCCTCCCCCCCCCCAATAAATGTACTTGAGACGCAATGTGTTAAAGCAGGGGCACTAAGGGACACTATAAATTGGTTAAAGATGGCGAATGCATAGTTTTTCTTGTGTTGTGAGATGAATTCCAGCCATTTTTTCTTAATTGTCGGGTTTTCAACTGAAGACTAATTTCCACACGTCTCAAATTTAACTGAAACAACTTAATTTTACTACACTGAAACTTTGGTGAGAAGATTGAGTTTCAAAACTCAATTCAAGATTGAGTTTTTGGGGCCGTAAAAAATCCCTGAAAAAACCCAGAGAGTCTAGCCAAGGTGACCTACTTTCCAGAAGGGTGTATATGGGCAAGTTGTAGACAAGAATAACCGATTAATTTAAGTGGACGCTTAAAAAATAAACACAGATCAGACCAAGTACTAATCTGTGTTTAAGATCTACATGCCCATACTTGTACCAAACGGGATATGCCCTGCCTATGATGTCTGTGTGGTTCTAATTTAGAGCCTCACAAGTACACACATTTGCATCAGTATGATTGTAGTATGGCATCTCACCTATACGTTCACACGTTGTCACACAGTGTGGCACCAAAATGTATATAGCCCCCCCCCCCCTATATAACCACGATGTTACACCCTGCCTTCATCAATGGTACGAGAGTGTAGGCCCCCACCCCATAGGACACGCACATTGCTATGGTTCAGCGCCCCTGCACTTGTATTGCCATTGTGAAACACCGCCGCGTATGCATGGTCATAGTGTGGTCGAATTATTGGACCTCGCTCCTTAATTAAAATACCCCCGGTATAAGGGTACGAATGTCACCATTTTGTTTTCCAATATCAACATATTTTACCCGTTTCCCCTCCATAAACCATGGTCTACACATAAAAGACAAACGTGTACGGGTGTTTTCTGTTTACTATGTGTGGGCCGTTTATGTATTAGAATACTTCAACATCTTACCTAAGTAAATCAATGCACATATGCTCGTCAATTTTTCCTAAATCTATGGTGAACCTCGACAACGATTTTCTAAAATTGGAAGTCGTACCCCGTTTATACCCGTACCCATAAACCGGAGCCGAGGTATCTTAACCACCCTAATAGTGCCGCACTCGTTGGGTTGGGCAATAGCCGCAAGCTGCCCAAGCATTTCAAAATATTTTTTAAAAAGCGATATTAACAGCTGTGGCAGATGCCAAAGACAAGATATCTCGCACAACTGTGGTCAACCGCTTAATTAAGAAATTCCTGTGTGGCGCCACAGCGTCTAGTCGCGTGGGATGTGTTGGATTGAAAACAGCTGCAGGCTTTGCTGTCATAGCAACCATCATAACAGATAACCTTACACGTCAGCAAATCATTTTGAAAGATGTTGTACTGTATTGGGTTGTGATTGAAACTCCGAAAAAATTATGGCTAACCAAAGAAACGGTCATGTCCAAAAACTGGGGACATTCCTTCTGAAACTCATTAATAATTCACAAGCTCGTGGTTTGAGTTAAAGTGCCTATGACATGAAATTTCATCCCAAATGTTTATGGTTGCATTGTAAAGATCATTTAAAATGACTTAATAATTTATTTTATAGAATTTTCGTAACTTGCTTCCTTTTCAAGATATTCAACTTTGTTTCGTATGCAAATATCACCGGTGTGACATCACATCGCATAATGAGTTTTCTGAAAAGTATAGTTTTCTTGACGAATACATATCTAAAAAACTTAAAAATTGCCCTTGTACATGTATTTATTTCATAACTGGTAATTAACCCTTTGTATTTGTTTTTAAAAATATTTTATCAAGGTAAAATATTGCATTTTCAAAATGTCATTATGCGATGCGATGTGATGTCACACCGGTGATATTTGCATATGAAACAAAGTTAAATATCTTGCAAAGGAAGCAAGTTACGAAAATTCTATAAAAGAAATTATTAAGTCATTTTAAGGGATCTTTACAATGCAATCATAAACATTTGGGGTGAAATTTCGTGTCATAGGCACTTTAAGGCTGCTCTCTCCAGTTAAGCGTTTTTCATACGTGCGTGTACGCACGTAAAAGTTTAAATCTTTCTAAATTTTACACAAGTACTAATTACCTCAGCAAATGCATATTAAATCACACAGAAAACTAAATTCTTTCCTTTTATTCAATTAGTTATTTCATAAATAAAATTTTAAAAGATTTAAACTTTTACGCATGAAAAACGCTTAACTGGAGAGCAGCTTTAGTTATGATAAACGTAATTTCCAACATAGCCAGAAAATAGTGATTTGTTTCAGAAATTATACAATTCATCCGTTTATAATTTTATTTCCAAAACGTGTATTCGTACACGAAGCTTAAATATCTTTATGATTTTAATTTTGAAAATAAAATTGAATGTGAAAATGAAATCAAAATTTATTGTTATTAATAATTAGAAAATGCAAAATGAGCGATATACAACGGAATTTGTAAGGCATCGTGGCTATTCTTGTGGAAATTTACAGCAAAATAATTCCAAGAAGCGCCTATATACTATCCCACCCTGTGGCCCCAGCAGGGACATAGTGAACACGCTGTCGTGTTTTTTTTTTTTTTGGGGGGGGGGGGGTCCATATTACCTGATTTTTTAAATTGCGTTTTAGCAGTTTTGAAATTTGCCTAAAGAATGCCTAACATTTGGCATTCTTGACTTCCATGAAAGCATTCCATTTTGACTTCTACCTTTCCTTGTCAATATTGTTATAATATACCTGAAAATCGGCTTAAATTACCTAAACTCTTGGACAAATATTGGGAGGGGGGTACACCCTACACCCCGGTCGCTACGTCCCTGCCACCCAGGCTTGTTGTCAATGTAGTTGACTTCTACAAGAATTGTTGGTGAACGATTTGATGTCGCTGTTATAGCAACCATTGCACACGTCATCTTTTTAGGAAGGACTATACAGTGTTGGGGTTGAAAAATTCAGTAAGTTCAGTAACTAGTAGAAGGAACAAATACAATCTCGTTCCCCGAGCCTGCGATCCTCGGGAAGGAACGTGAGGCTCTGGGATAATCCGTTGGCGGAAGCCAGGAATCCTGGCTAAGATCGAATTGGGCATTCCATATCAACGGTCAATCAGATTCCTCCCTGAAACGGCTTATCCCAGAGCCTCACGTTCCTTCCCGAGGATCGCAGGCTCGGGGAACGAGATTGGAACTAATATAGTTTGCTGATGAGGCTGAACTTAAGCCTGGTTCACATTGATCGGCGATGTTCTACGATCCATTGTCTGTGAGCAACGAAAAAGAAAATGCACAAAACATTTTATGCATCAATGACCACCGACAATGGGCATCGCCGATGTTTACGATCAATGTGAACCAGGCTATAGATTGGATAATCACACTTCAGTCTTAGAACTCCAAAACAAACTAAAAATTCAATGCACAAATTTATTTAATGATGCCTTAATGCAATGTCTGCGTTGTCTTTTATGGAACTTCTCGATATTTATAGGCGCATGTATGAGGCTCACGTGCTTCGGTGGCATACTCGTCAGAGCAAGCGCATTTCATCTCTGAGATCGCGTGTTCGATTCTCGCTATGGACTCACGTCATGTGGCAAGAGTCAGTCAACATTCTGCCAAAAGTCGTGGGTTTTTTCCAGAGGTGTCAGGGTGGGTTAGGATAAACATAGTTAGGAAAGTAATATCACAATTGTTATGAAGATAAATACTCTAGGCTAAGTAGGTAACATAAGTAAGCGTAGTATTTGATGTAATCGGTCACAGAAAAGCCCCGATTGGGAGTGCGCTGAATAATATATTTATATGTCTGTACGCAAATGAGCAATGCGATCAAATGAGACAGTCGGTGGGACACGGATGCAGCATAGTTGTTAGCCTGCGAACAGGCTCTCAAGCTGAATTGAGAGCCTGCATCGATGACTAATGAATTTGAATATCTGCCCCGTAACATTCGTTTTTTCAAATATGGAATGTCTATCCTTATATGGTGTTGTTTACAACTTTCGTGCAAACGAAATTTAGACCGTGCAAACTAAATTTAGGCCGTACAGTTTATACTGTTTTTCGAAATGTTTAAATGTTTTATTGTTTTAAATACTGTTTTCTTAAAACAGAACATTTCGTGCTTTGAGATAAGATGGCCAAGACCAATTTGATCAGTTAATGTGTTTTTTGTGCATAGTGCTTCAGCAGTTGACATATATAGAGCTCAGCGGAAACATATATATTATAGCATC